TCGCTGCTGATGTTGATATATTTTCACGTACCAACTCTGAATTATGATCTTCTGTAGACACTGTTTGTATTTTGCACGATAAATTGGAATTTTTTAGATTTAAATCAACTGCCATACTATAATCTTGTGAATCTAAATAGAGAATGTTCACTCTGCCTGATTATATGCCACACTGGATGTATGAAAAAATACGTCAAAGAACAATCTCGTTCGTCATCAGGAACAATATCGTTCTTACAAATCATAAATCTGCTTTTGGGATGACTATAGACGAAATAGATGAGAAGCGTACTTGGTTTCTTCCAGTTCATGTTCCAAGTCTGTCAGAGAAACATACATTCACTGCCAGTCGTTTTATGTCTCAACACATTGCAAAGGGGAAACATCTATAAGTCGCATAAAAGGTCTGAAGTTTTCACGTTTGCAAAAACAAGTTGAAGCAATACTTTGTAAATAATTCTGGCGTAGAAATATAAACGAAGGATCAACTGTGCATAATTCAGAGTTGGTACGTGAAAATNCTTTTCTTCCGGTTGGTTTCATTACTAAACGTTCACCAATTTTCAGTACATGTTCACAATAAGGTGGACTATTGAACAAGGCCAATGCATCTTGCGTAACAAATGCCAAATTTTTTGTTTTAATCTTCCTCATAGTATTAAAATACATTTGAATATCTTTAATTCCAACATCTTTTAACATCATCGAGAAATTAATCTCTTCTACTACTGTATGTGGTAATAATTTCAAATAACAAGGCTGATAACTATGTTTATTAGCCAAAAAATTCGTTTTTAACGATAATAATTTCATTTTAATTAATACTTCACATGCTTTGTGTATGTCAGTCATATTGTGACCGCTTATAGAGCGATTCAACAGCGTTCGTGATAGCAACGGTGAATCTATCATCAAAACTTTTCCACATATAACTTTTATTTTTTCACTCAATACACCACGTACTGTACTAAATGTTGTTCTTTCTGAGTTTGTAGACGATGTGTTAGTTTTGTCACCTAATGGAATATTATTTGATAATCTGGACCTTTGTGGAACAGTAAACGTTTCTGCAACAAATAGAATGACATATAAATAAAAAAAAGTTGATTTTATTGATTGTGGTTCCTAAAACTCATGTGGATTTTAGACAAACTCTTACAGAAATTGCTCAGATCCCTTTCTACTCAAGAATCTCGCTGCTACTTCTACAATTCAACTAACCAGCAACATCCATATTTTCGACTACTTCAAGGACGTGTTGTGATAAATTTATTGTATTGCCTTCAATATTTTGTTTTCTTTGGGTACTTGGGATATGATCTGCTATAAAATTTGATACTAGTACATTTATATCTATAAAAGAAGCAAAATATATTATATATATATAAATTTATACAATCTAACTTCCCATTGCGGCACTTTTAGAAGAACTGTGCCAGCTTTTTGGATTTATTATGTTTT